TGTGCTAAAAACTGGAAGATTCTGCAAAATTTAACCTACAGTAAAGGATAGTCAACTAATGTTCTAGTGGACTTCCTTCTGAAAACCTTGAATGGATTTGCAAGTTCAGGCCTATCTTCTTAGAACGGCCTTTTCGACCTATGCGCCACTTTCCGCTTTTGGTGGTTCCTCTGCCCCTATGTTAGTGCTAGCCGGGATAGTGGGAAAAACACGCCTCGGCCGACGACGTTGTGTTCTGTGGTGGCTTTAGAACTTTTGTCCTCGTTACGACGAAAACAATATCAGGGGGTTTTATCAGTTCAGACCCCCGAATTCTTCACTTTTTGTGTCGGTGCGACCGTGAACTTGGTCCGGGTGTCGACATACAATTCACACATCATCTAACGTTACTTCTGCCATTCGTTACTTGGCAACCCGGCGAGAACGCACGCTCGGAATTGCGAGAGCGGCGTCCCGAGTGGCAGTTAAGAATGCGGCACAGCGCCCTCTCGGAGGAGGACTTCGTTGGATCTCAAATGTTGTTGACAGAGGAAAGAGTACGCTTAGTGCCACTTCGTGAACTCTCTTCAAGAATTTTTTCTTAAAGTTCATATATCCTACCATAAGCTGCTTCAAGCGTTTTGGTATATACAGCAAGATATAAGATAGAAAGATACTGGAGGAAATACTGTTTATTCGTAGATATGCCAGAGTGAAAAATAAACGAAAAATCTATATACCAGATATAAGAGATATCGATTAATGTAGACTTATCGATTCCTCGCCGAAGGCTAGTCCTCCACACATGAACTCGGAAACATGGTGCTTGAAAGAGGCAGAACCCGCTCAAAATAAGTTTAGTTTAAAATACCATAAGTGTGGGATCCGGCAGAACCTCTGGCTGTTAAACTTGAGCGAGAACACGCCCAATTAGACCTTGAAGGTGATTGGTCGAGAAACAGACGTTGCAATGGATGCCCGGCGTAGGGGCACCGCATTCTAGAAGTAGACTTACACCAAAAGCCTAGGTACTACTTTTGTCGATACTTCCGCTGCTATATGGCACACAAATGCGAGGGTGTCGGCTCCTGGTGTATGGAATATGCGACCCATACAAATATCAAGCTAATAATGTTGGGAATTATTAGAAGCGAGATTTGGTATTCCGTGTCCATTACATAAATGTGAGTATATCTCTCGAAATGCTAATCAATCTTCAAGCTGAGGATAATCAACTTCCGTAGAGTAATCTCAAAGTGCCCATTCTTCGCACAAACAGTACAACAAACGGTCTACTTTTCAAATTTCAATGTTTTTTCTACCCTACCCTCAGCAACGGTCCAAGTTAAAGCTCAGACTGGTAGTTTGCCTGTATTTTATCTAACGCTACTTCGTTTTTTGGTTTTCGTATATGCAGACAAACCGATTAGTCTGATTTTCCTTTTTAGGGCATAAAAACGAGAACACCAAATCGTCTCTCAAGTCAAATTGTTGTGGTCGTGTGGTGGTTCTTCTGCCTCATCTTCATCGGTTGTTTCGTATCCAACTATGCCGCTTACATATCCTTCACCGCCCTAACCACCCTTCCAAACGACCCACCTTCCCTGCTACAGCAAAAGGAATACAGGTAAGGATTCTGATTTACTTTGTTCGAAGCCACGTTCCATGCTGATTGACATACAGTCCAGAAATGTGAGAAAAATGGTTAATTTCGCCTGCCAATTTCACAAAGGAAGAAGTCTACCAGGAGATGATCCGCAAGCTCTATAAAAGTCTTTCCTGGCAAATCAATATCCGGCATGTTCACCTTTATAGCGGGTACTCATTTAAAGTCAGTTCCCACAAATCTTTCTAAAAATGTGACTTACTGCCTAAAATGGAATTCTGGAGGAGTGAACTTCCAAATTACAACTAGTCTAGAAGACGTTCGATAATCAATAAATGTTACCAGCACTGTATGTAAACACTTTTCGAGTGCACTTCTCTTCTAGGCTCAAGCAGGCTACTGATGTTTCAAATAAATTACGCAATTCACTCGTCCTTATCCTGCCCATACGACTCTCTGAACGAGATTTGGGGACAGTCTGCTTTCGGGCTCACTTCGCTTACTTTGCGTATCTGCCTACTTAATTCGTAGTAGTGAGCACGTTCTTCTCACCACGAAGGTACGACACAATCCATCCACATTACACTCCGCACACGGAAGTGTTTAAAGGCCGACAGTTACCTTTAATTTTATTGGTTTTAGTTGGATTGCATTCCCTTAAGTGCCGTTTTTAGTTTATTTCCATAGTTTAGTTGCATAGTTTGGCTTAGTTCTGTTTCAGCTTAGTTTACATTTCGCTTTCTTTATTTCTAAGTTCATTTTAATTTTCGTTTAGTTTTACCTTATTGTGGTTTTAAGTTTAATTGATTTGTGCTGAGTTTCGGGTTATTATTTAATTTTATTAATTTAATTTTAGTTTGATGTAGTTCTTTCGGCAGTTCCACTATTTGCCCAGTACAGTTCTTATTTTCTATTGGTTGTCTTTTTGATTTTATTTATCACGCGCTTTTTGTTGGCAAACATAAGGTTATTTAAGAACCTATTCCTATCATTTTCTATTTGTATATGATCTACTTTTTAATAATTGCTTCTTTGCTCTGATCTGCCCCATCCATTTAACCCTAGTTACTACCGGTCCCGTATGACAAAATGTTTGAGTTTTCACATGCTTCAGCGAGCCCGAAACCAGGCCGTTTCCCGAGATTTCGACTATATCCTTCGCATTTCATCAAAAATAATTGTGTATACTCGAAGTAACCTTTTTCAGACGAGACTCATTGACTTCAAAAAGAAAGCTTACGACATTTAATCTCACTAGCTTCTATGGCATAATCGTCTAGCATTAATAGTCTGCAAGATTGAAGCCAGCAGTATGTAAGCACACAGAGAGAAACATTGACCATCATCCTAGCACAGGCGTTAGCCAAAAAAGTGACGTACCGTATTTCACCGACTTTGTGCTGCTGCATCACTCTGCTGTAGCCTATCAACATGCAACTCAGAAATATTATTGCAGACGGCAGTTTTACAGAGCTCAAAGCTAACATACGAGGTAAGAGGAGATACGGTGGGGTAAATGACGTGGGAAGCGTCATAGATTAAATTGCTAGAGCAATTTTGTATCATACCTATGAATCCTCGTCACACGTCCGTGGCTTCCAGCGTTCGCTTGTCAGGCGTGCGCGGTTTAGGTGTGAGTACGGGCGGAAACCGACTGAGCAGATCATTTTCTCAGCGAATAATTTGAAAATGGAACCAACTGTGGTCATTAAATCTTCCTTGTGTCTTTTTTCAGTTATGGTTTCATTAAGGGCTCAACGACGGAATACTTCCTCTCGACGTCTACAGACAAGGATCTGCGGGCCATTTACGACACCGTCATTGAACAATATCCACAAAACGTCGTACCCAATCGAACAGTCGGCGTCGAAAAAGTGACCGAGGTCAGTTAGAGTTAACGCCTTACTGAACTGTGTGGGCTACAGCTAAAATGTATTCCTTCATTCCTTTGTATATTAATCTAAAGTATCGTATGCGAACAAATGCCGATTAGTTTTTTGGGTAAGGATTGATCACATACCTCCCTAACCAGGACAGGGAAGCATTAATGGCCGCCCAAATGATAATTGTGGCCCCACGCATAATTGTAGGATGTGAAAATATTACCGTGTCTTAACCATAGTAATAGCTCTAACATCAGCCTAAGCTGTACACCTAAACTCAATCTTAACCTAACATTAAATCCTAACCCTTATGTTCGCTATAAGTTGAACCCTAAAGTACCTGAGCTCTAACCTTACTCTGACACTTAAATCTGACCTTAGACCTAACCCTAACCCAACCCATAAACCTACCCCTACTTTCCCTAAAATTTGGCCTGAACACAGCTGTACTGCGAGGTGCCCCAGTTTTCATGTCCTGCTCAGGGGGCCATACAAGTCGTTTTTATTACTGTTTGCGAAAACAGGTAAGACGATTGACCAGACTGGATTTGGGTAGGCAGGCATTGTTAGGTGCGCACTCGATAGCAGCCGCGAGAGATTGAGCGCTGCAGGCGGAGTTAGATCACTACAACCCTTAGCAGGGCAGCTTTTGCTGCAGTGGGGGGCAGCATCCCAGCGGTCCAGAAGGCGATAGCAGCAGTTATTTGATCGAGCCGAGTACCAGCTGTTGATAACCTACGCCTGGGCTGACTGTCCGCCTACGCCATGGTGTACGCCACCAGAAGGCTGAGTCGCATAGAGTGCAAACAGTTAACTGGCCTGGGGGTACGGAACTTTAAATGTGTCAGCTGTTGGGGACCAGTGCCTCTAGTAGGTGTAAAACGAAAAGAAAGGTACTGTAGCCGACGCCCAACATTGCCTTGTCCGGCTTCCTTTTTCAAGGCCAACTGCCTCAGGCTCATGCACTATCCCATTCAGCCCTTTCAAACGCGCTGATCTGCAGACACACACAGACCTGCAGACTTCTACACATCTACATCCAGCTAGTCGCGGCTGCCCATGCGCCACTTGAGCACGTCCCTTTCTCTCACCCTAAGCTGATACAGCGTACGCCACCAGACACGACACCCACCCGGTAATGTCCCATACCCACACACACCTACTGGAGAATACTTGAACCTGTTCCGCAATGCTACTGAAGCAACTACCACTATTGTCTCACTCTCTAACGCTTAACTGGACGCAGTGAACAGTAGCCCTGGCTTCGCCAGTGGCCACTGCCACCTGAGACAGCAACTAGGAATTCTGTGCGCAATAAAGCCCTCATTCTGGGCTTCGGCCTGATGATTTCAGTGCTCTAAGCAGAACCACGGCTAAGACGCTACAAGACTGGAATGGTCATTTCTGGCTAATTAGCCGGCCTTTGGACTTTTGCTGGAACATCCACCTCACGTAAATTGTCCATGCGGTCAGCCAGCGCGGCCGAGTTTTTAGGGTCCCACATGGAAACCGCACCGCTACACAGACAGTCCGCTTCTAGTGCCAGCC